CAATTTTTTTTAAAAAGAAGTGTTTCCTTCTCAGTAAAATTAGAATTCTACTCTTAAAATTTTTTTTAAAAAGGCATCCAAAGGCCTGATATAAAGGAATTGAGAAACAATCCAAATCCTCAAAGATGTTTTTCGTAGCTTTATTGATAATACTGGCGATTTTACAAATATCTCAAATGCCCATGAGAGCATGAACCTTGGCACACATCCACTTGTTACTTGTTGCGAAAGAATGCACCTGTTGAAAAACATGGTTGTAGAGACTGTGTAGCAACATGGAAAGGGCTATGGTAAAATGTTAACCAAAAAAAAAAAAAGCCCCCCAGGGGTGCCTGGGTGGCTCAGTTAAGCGTCCGGCTTCGGTCCAGCTTCGGCTCGTGTCATGATCCCAGGGTCCTGGGATTGAGCCCCGCGTCGGGCCCCCACTTCTCCCTCTGCCTGCCGCTCCCCCTGCTTGTGCTCTCTCTCTCACTCTCTCTCTGACAAATAAATAAAAATCTTAAAAGAGAAAGAAAGAAATGAGTATGTAGTGTAAATATATTTTTACATACCCAGATTCCCATTTCGGTGTTCAGAAGCAAATGTATAGTTTCGGTGTCTGCCCTGAGCCTGTGACCGGTGCTTAGATGCCCATTTTATGCCCCATTATATTGCATTTTATTCCTACAACACTAAAAGCAAATCTGCTCAAAGGCGGCCCAATTAAAAACAAAATCTTCAAAATCATGAGGATTTTCTGTTTGATATCTGTTCCATCACAGTTGTAAGAATGATTGCCACCACCCATTGAGCCCCACTATATCTGGGTGCTATGGGAGATGCCTGAGGGCAAACCTGGGCGCCTGCGGGGACAGTGCCTTGTTCAGGTCCCACCGCCAGAACACAGCGGAGCTGGAATTTCATCCTCAGCCTGAGTCCAGAGCTTACGCTTTTCCCCCCTGCCTCCCAGGCCCTTGTCATGCCTTAGTTTCCAAGCAGAATTTAAAATACAAGCAAAATAATTCAGACTACTTGGAATATTAGATTTTGCATTTTCTTTTCAATCATCCTGATACATACTTTTTTCTCAACTGCCATTTTTACAAAGTCACTTTGCCCCTATGGCTTCCCCGTCCCCATGAAAACTGACGTTCTCTGAATTTTCAAGGATAACCTGCCCAGCTCAGATTCCTTCTAACATCCCAGGACAGATGCCCTGGTAGGCTGCAGCTGGGGAGGTCATTTGCCCCCTCTTCCTCCCTTACCGAAGGTGAGCCTGGAGGTGCCTAAGGCGGATAAAGTGTTTGATAACAGACTTTTCTTAATCTGTTTTTAATCTGTTCAATCAGTGTTGAAATACCAGTGATTCCTTCTTCCCTGCTTCCGCCTCTGGTGGAAGTTTACCATGTAGCATGTATGACTCATGTTTATTGATAGATTCGTTTCCGGCAAGAGGTCAACTAACTTGTTACACCTTAATATATAGGTCTGGGACTAGGTGAAATTACGCAAGTGTGAATCCTGCTTATTAACTGTTACTCTATCGTAAAACAATCCCCAAGTCCTGCCAATGTTTTATTCTCTTCCGTTCTCAAGTCAGTCCCTTTCTCAGCCTCCTTTTTGGCTCTGTCCAGCTCAAAACTGCATACACTCCTACCTGGGCGACTGTGGCGGCTGATCTCCCTGCCTCCTGGCCCTGGGGAGCCAGGGGGAACCCCCAAAAGCACAGTTTGACCATTTACTTTACTGCCCAGCTTTGCGACCCACTAGTGGCTCCCTCATCTGGTGACTCCAGCATGCCCAGGCCTTCGTGCCTGGCCACATGTCACCTCCTGCCCGCCCACTGCATGTCACTGTCTGCTCCGATCTCCCCAGACACCTGCTGCCTCCTGACCCTGAACATTGTCCTGACCCTGCTGCATCCTTCTCCACCCCTACCCTTACCCAGCTCACTCCCCGTCCTCCTTTAAGACTGCTCCAGTGTCAGCTCCTCCAAGAAACTATGCTCTCCCTTCCCTGCCTGGGCCATCCGCCTCCACCTGCGGTCTCCGCACAGCAACCTGTACTTAGCACCCTCTTGGCGCTCACTCTTCTCGCCTCTGTTCATTCCTCTGGCCTTTGCATAAGCCTGTGCTGCTGGTGGGGCCTGAACGGAGTAAAACTTCCCTTCTGGCCACCAAGCAAAACGGATCCCTGGAGTGGGTGCAAAGTCCTCACAGCAAAAACTCTGTTGGACTCTGTCGGCTCCATGCCCCATGGCTCCAGCATGGGTGAAACCGTGGCCGCTGATTTTAACCTGAGCTTATGCACCAGAGTTGTCCCTCGAAATTTCTCCCGCAGTGTGTGAAAGGGCTCTGTGCCGTCACTGTCTCACGCCTCATCCCAGTTATTAACATCTGTGGCTCTGTCATCATCACCGACGTACAAGTCCTGCAGATAACATTCTCAGAGCTCTTGTCTCTCTGTGACGTGAAGGCTTTCCCTGGAAAGGACAAATAAATCAGAGGCTTCAGAGAGATGGTAAGTGGCAGACTCTTCATCATTCCTTGGAGCTTCACTCTTCCGTGGGGCTCTGGAATGAGCACCAGGGACAGACAAGGAACACACGCAGGAAAATACAGATGTCACCAGGCCCAAATACGCAGCCTTTCAGGAGACTTGACTTGGGATGTTTTCTTTTTGTTTTTCATGCGACTGTGGCACAGATGAGCTGCAGGCCTCCCCTCTATAAGCCCACCACCACCGGTATTCTGCACAGGCAGTGTGATCCCAAGAGGACAGTGTTAGAGTTTCCAGAGGCTCCCAGGCCAGTGCAAACTGCATATCACACATGCTACGTATAGATTTGTCTCTACCTAAAGAGTGCAGAAAAGGTTTTTAATAGCATCTCAGTTGTCTGGGCAAAACAGGGTCTAGCATCTTGAGGTTTGGTTTGGTTTTGTCAGTGACGAGTGGGAGCAGGTGGTATACACAGTCCATGAGTTCCCTTATCAGGGTGGTCAGTGAACCCTGAAGCTTCAGGTCAACGGGCCTCCCTGAGACCTTCTGGTCCTTTTTAGCCCCAGGCCCTGGTGTCTGTGTCTGTCACGGTCAGGTGTCCGCAGTAAGACCTCCTGGAGGGCATGTCTCTGTTTGTCCTTCACGGCCCTGTGGCCTTCATGGATGTCTCTGGCTTGGTCACAGCATGGCCAACAGATAACTGCATTGTCCTTCTACACAGTGAGCTCACCAAGAAGACTCTACTCTTCCAAAATGGTCCTGTGAAAATGAACACATACACGTACATACCGATATATTTATGTGAGATTCACTTTCTTAATCAGAAACAAGTAATTTACATATTAACAGGATGATTAGCTTCTGGCTAAGAATTCTGACATTTTAGTACCACTATTTAGAATCAGGCTAAATTTGTCAAGTGACTGAAAGTGAGGTTTTTCAGAAATTATTAGCTAATTTTTTCAATATAAAATCTATAGTCACAATTAGTATATCATAATGGTGTTTCCAGGATAAAATACCAGCAGCTCAACTTTTCTGGCCACAAATGTACAACATATATCAGTTTATTTTTGGAGATCTGAAGAATTAGCTACTGTAAATAAAGTCCCCAAGAAGATTTCTCCGGGAAAGAGGTGAACTTACAGTAATATGGGTGATATATTATTAATTAATAACTATGACCAGTGCTGTTTCAATTAAAAGGAAAACGGGTGAGAAGGTCTATTAGAAAGGATATGCTTAATCTCACCAGCCCTGAGGACTACAGAACAGACTAGGGAAGGTTGTTTCTAAGGCTGTCTGCAGGAGGATATCACCAGCTGCTCCCCAGTCTGGGAACTTTGCTGAGCGCTGGCTACGTGTCTCTCGGAAGCATTGCTCATTTGGTTGCCAGTAATGGAAACCAACTTCAAAATAGCTTAAGGAGAAAGAGGACTTTCTTGGAGGGCCACAGAGTCTCCCATAACTCAAGGGCAGCATGTGCTGATGGGCCGGGGAGGGCTTCACTTGGGACTGAGACAGGCTGGCATCCGTGTCTGCTTAGAAGAGGGGATCTGATTGGCATATCTGGCCCAAAGGACAGGCACATGGCACCTGTCTGCAGGCGTCACGATATAGTAAGCAGGTTTCTTTGACAGGCCACATATGGTATGGGAGGCTGCCTGAAAAGGGCGCCTAGAAGTATAGCTGTGAAGACTCGCCCAAGGAGGTACCAGGTGAGCTGAGTCACCCAAGAGCGGCAGCCCTTTCCCAGACAGCTTAGCGAGAGAGGACATGCCAGGCCTAGGCTGGTGGGAGTGTGCAGTGCCATGGGCCTGCCTGTGCATGGGAGTGAGATGAAGCGAGAGGGGTGAGGCGCGAAGCAGTCCCAGAATGACAAGGTTATTCTGAAGGTGGTGGGAAAGGGGCATGAAAGAATTTGGTTCTGGGAGAGATTAGTGTGTTCAGAGGATCTGACCCCCTGAGGTCGGACAGCTGTGTGAGGTGCCATCCTCCTTGGGTAGAAATGACTGGAGACCCAGGAGCAGCTTCCAGGCAGGGTCACGAGGCCAGGACTCCCCAGCCCTGCAGTAGCCAGGGCTATGGAGAAGCCCCGTGATAGCATTACCAGCAGCCTTTGTCCTTCCTACTGCTCATTTATTTGGCTTTAAGCACAGTTATTTTATTTTTAGAGTAATAATATGGAGTTAAATAGGCCTTCTGCCTTAAAGATACCACCTCTTCCATGTACTCGTTGTCTAGAAGTAGTTCTGTAAAGCCGTCCTAATGTGGCGTTGCCCTGAACACACTTGGTGGAATGAGACCTAACTAGCCATTTGATTTTGTTTGTTTGTTTTCCTGTCCATTTTCTCCCCTGCCTGTGATGAGAAAAATGACCTGCCCCCAGAAACAGTTAACCTTACCGCGTCCACTTGCTCTCGCTTGAACTGGAATGCCAAGGGGAAAATATGGGGTCGCCTTTCCAAGGGGAACTCACCAGAACCCCCTCAACTGCCTTTTCTCTCTTTGTCTCTCTCCAGGTCACGCAATATTTAAACTCACGTATCTAAGCAATCATGACTATAAACACCTCTACTTTGAATCTGACGCTGCTACTGTCAATGAAATCGTGCTCAAGGTGAGTGTTCCTCCCCAGGCCGGGCACCGGGTGCGCAGGGCTGGTTTTTGCACAGCCGGGTCTCAGGCTAGAGGCAGCCCCCTTCCTCCCAGCACTGGACAAGGCTCCTGGGCCCGGTTTGCAGAGGACGAGCGGCCTTTGGTCACCCAGCTGGGGAGCATCCATACCCAGGGCCGCACCACAGGTCAGTTGCCCTTCTCCTGCTTCAGCCAAAGCAGGACCCTTTGAAAGGCTTCCTCCCTAACCCAGTCATCCTGGTTCTTCGTGTATTTATCCTTTTCATGCACCATGTACTTCCTCCCATTCATTGTCAGGAGCTCCTTGAGGCTCCTGGAACGGACGCAGAGGAAATTGTTGTTATTGGGTAAAGACAGTGTAGTCAAGATAATTTTAGCAAACTGTTCTAAACATATTCATCTTTATGCTACAATCGTATGTTGCCATAGCTCAGCAGCGCTCACTGAGCATCTTCCGTGTGCCAGGCGAGTCCTTGGGATGTTGCAGTGACAGACCCAGGCCCTGCCGCCAGAAAGCTCTTCCTCTGTCAGAGGAGACAGACAGTAACATTAAATTACAAAGAGATTGTTAAACAGTCACAAAGGTGCCACGTGGATGTGAAAAAGGTACACTGACCGGGGTAGGGGGTGGTGGGGCTCAGGGAGAGCTGAACCCTGAAGGATGGATGCAAAAGCACAGATTTGAGCAGGCGAGGAGAATGAAACAGCGTCTCAGACAGAGAGCAGCCTGTGAAGGGACGGAGAGGTGGGGCGAGCACGTGTGGCTGGAGCAGAGCAGGGTGGAAAGGCCAGGTCACACAGAGCCTTGCAAAGTGGGGACAGGCTGAGAAAAGCTGCCCTGGGGCCTTGCTGGTTTGGGAGGCCTGGGGTAGGGCCCGAGACTGAGCATCTCTAAGAAGTTCGCGGGTGCTGCCCAGGCTGTTGGTCTCTGCACGGCATTCCGAGGCGCCCTGGATGAATGGTTTCAAGAGTCCTTTCTTCCAGCCGAATCTTACGTAGACGGAACAGATAGAAACACCGAGCTGCTGGTTGTGGCAGACCACGACTTACAGGCAGAGGGCTCCCCACTTGTAGCCGTGTGACTCTGGCTCATCACATCACCTCAGGGCCTCGGTGTCTCTGCCTATAAAATGGAGATCGTGGCAGGTGCACTGCCCCGCCCCAGCAAAGGGCTGCTAGAACACAGATCAAATGAGGTAGCGTAAACCAACCTAGATGAGTATTCATTCTCCTCTTGAGAGTAAAAGCCATCAAGTAATAATAATGGAAGTAGCTAAGCTGGGGGTGCCTGGGTGGCTCAGTTGGTTAAGCGTCCAAGTCTTGATTTCAGCTCAGGTCATGGTCTCGGGGTACTGGGATCAAAGCCCCACATCGGGCTCCTTGCTCAGCGTGGAGTCTGCTTAAGATTCTCTTTCTCCCTCTCTGACTGCCCCTCCCCCTGCTCGTGTTCTCTCTTCAACTTTCTCTAAAATAAATAAAATAAAATTTTTTTAAAAGTAGCTAAGCCGTACTGAGGGATTGCAGAGTACAGGACCTGAGCTGAGCACTTTACACCGCCTTCCGCAGAACCTTCATGGTTCTGCAAGACAGTAATGGAAAATCATTCCCATTTCCTAGATGAAAACGGAGGCTCAGAAACAAAGAAACTTAGCCAGGACCATGACTGACAGAACTGGACCTGACCCCAGGTTTGGCAGCCTCCAGAATTTGTGCTCCTAACCCCCCTCATATGTGTACCCTTGAGGAGTTGAATGAGAGGTTTCAACCAAACGGCATTGTTTTGCAGATACATTTGGAGGTCAAGTCCTCATGGCTACAAAAGATTTCCAAAAGTAGTAGATGAAAATGAAAAGGATAAAGCTGCTGGGGGGACAGTTGGGACCAGAGCCCACCTCGGACCAGGCGGTAGGACACAGGGCCTGCCTGCAGTGCTTGAAACCAGCGAGCTAAGAGTTACTTGCCAGATTGTCACCAGGCAGCACAGGGAACTTGTTCAGTGTTTGGGGACCAGGTAAAGAAATATTCCATTACCCCATCAAGGGCTGGCCTTTTTTTATAGCCAGCATTAAAATATTCAAGACTTGAGAAGGATTCTGGTAAAATTATAATCATGTGTTTGACATCAAGATAATTTTCACAACAGCAGATTGATGACAGAAACACAGGTTTATGACTTCAGTATGAGGCTCTGCAAGAGCAAGTGCAGAGAAATCATTTTACAGGACCAAATGCTCCCTCGAAGCAGATGCTTTTCTGCAAAATCCCTGAGGCCTATCGCCTCCCCTGAAATGTCTGTTTTCATATGAAAATGTTTGTAGAAATATTGCATCATGCTCAAGACTCCAGGAGAGTCACAGCGTGCCCAGGCCTGATTTACTTAGAGAGCTAATGGTCATGATCCTGATGGAAGATTAAATTTCACTTTTTCTGTCTCTGATTTTTATAGCAATTTAAATACTTAGCCTTCTCTGCCATCCCCACAGTGTCTGAGCTTTGCACCAGTACCAAGTGACTGAGGCCCCAGCCCTGTGTCCCAGAGTTTGGCCGAAATATTTCCACCAGAGGCTCTTCCAGAAGTGGGTCTTAGACACAAGTGATGCATGTGACGGTTCTAGAATTCAGGAGTTTGACGTAAAACGAGAGCCTTAGATGGAAACTGAAGGAGAAGATAAGGGCCAGAGGCCGATGTCCAAGAAACTGTTATGTATGTCTCCCATTTATTGAACACCACCTGCATACAAGACATCTTACGTAACTATTCAGTCTTCACTATTGCCCTGCAGAGTGTAGACATTATTTTCCCCATTCTGTAGATGAGGAGACAGAGGCCCACGGCTGCGGAGTGTGCAAGGGTGGAGCCTCAGCTCCAGCCCCAGCCCTGAGGAGTCCCTTCCACCCCAAGCCATCAGTGAGCTAAGCCATGTGTGGGTCCTAATTCTGCAAGTTTTGAGATGAATCTCAGAGGAATCATTGGTCTCTTCAAATTGGGTTCTTCTTGTGATCGAGTGATGGAGGCTGTGGCTTTATTGACCATGAAAACTCCCTATATTTTTATGCCTTAAGCTGTAAAATGCATTGAAAGTGAAACACTCTATAGTGCATAAAATTGTGCAAGTTTTAAGCCACAGCATATTAACCAGCTAATGGCAGACCAAAGGGCGTTTTTATCTTTTGATTATTACATTAATCTTCCATTAAAATTATGTGATTATCACAAAGCACTGAAGATAATAAATTTAGGAGATAGTGGGCTAGTTAAGGATCATTTTTAAATGCTTTCGTCAAGTTACATGTGCCAAAAATACACTGAAAACACTAGGTTGGCTGAGTGTGCAAACAGTATAATCCAAAGATGGCTCTTATTAAGAATGATAAAACCTCTGATTTCCATACATTGTCTGTAGTGTCCCAGATCATCAGCCTGGCCCCGCGGTCCTCATGATTTATTGCTCTCAGCTGGTAACTCGGCGAGGCAGTGGGCCAAGCTCGTCAGGCCTTCTGTACTCACACACCAGCCTTTAACACCTGCTGCTGGTGACGATCAGAGCAGAAAGTTTGGAGGGGACACAGTGTTAGAGCCTCGGCCCACGGGAGGCCCGCCATCCTGCCTGCCTCCCCTGCACACCCTCAGCTTCTTTCTCAGAGGTGGCGGGGGCTGCTCCCACTCGGGGCGTGGGCACGCGGCCCTCAGAGAAGAATCAGAGGTGGTGGCAGGTCTCTGTAGTCAAAAGTGTTTGGGCTTCTGGTCATAACTTACAGATATTTGAGAGTGAAGAGAAAAGGTGTTCGCTCACGAAAAGCCCCAGCCAGAGGCTGGCAGCAGGAGCAGAGGGAGGAGCAGTATCTGAGGGGGAAAGAGGGTGGGAGCACTTCTGGGGAGCCCAGGGGCCTGGGGAGCTACAAGTATGCCAATCACGGGGGATCCTGGCCCAGGCACTTACTAGCTCTGTGGCCTTGAGTAAAGGACACTACCATTCTGTGCCTTGATTTTCTCATCTGCACAATGGGATGGTAGTGGCATCTGTCTCATAGGCTGTTGTGAAGGTTACGTGAGTTTGTCCTTGGAAAGCACTCCAGCAGCCCTGCAGCGACCATACCGTCGGCCAGGGGCTCAGCCTCCGCGCTGGGGCCCGGTCCGATCCCAGCATCACTGCCCTTCCCTGGCTCTGCCCGCCCCACCTGGCCTGGGAGCAAAGCAGTTAAGTTCCCCAGACTCCCACCCACCTACCCCCCGCCGTCCATGGCTGTGCTGGGATACGTGCTCGTTCTCCCCTGCCCCTGGTACACCCCGAACTCCTGTTTATCTCTCAAAACCCAGCTCGCACATTCCTCGGCAAGATTTCCCTGCGCCACAGTACGTCCCTGGTAGTTACCCCCTTCTTTCCTGCTCCTTCTATCGCTGGTGTCACACGTGTCCTGCTGTTGGAACCCGCCAGGCAGTGAGCTCTTCGGAGCAGGGACCGAGTCTTACTTTTCCCTCTGTCCCTCGAACCGAGCCTGCAGCCAGGCTCGGACGTGGCGGGTGCTGCCCTGGGGCGGCCCCTCTCCCGGCTTTGACCCTGACCTCCGGGTGATCCTGGTCAGCTCGGCCCTCTTCCTGAGCCTCACTCCTTATCAGATGCGCCCTGGCTGGCAGGGTGCCCGTGGGCAGGAGATGAAACCCTGTAGTTGGAAGCTCTGTACCTACCAGGGGGAGGCTGAAAATAGAGCCTTGGGTTCAGTTGGTTTTTCATCCCTGCCATGCTCTTGTCTTTCGGATGAGGAAAGGGGGCGCTCCGGGGAGTTATGTGCAGGCCCAGGCTTGCACAGCAGGTGAGGAGCAGAACCAGGAAGCCTGGTGCACGGCCTTCTGGGAGGCAGCACGTGCTGAGGAAGGGACACAGGCTGTGAAATCCGGAAAGCTCCCCCCAGCCCCCCACAGGACTGAAAGGCCTGGACCAGCGACTAGTCGTCTCCAGGCCTCCTTTCTCCCGTCATAAAGTGGGCTCCGTCCCAGCCTGCCAGGTTGCTGTGATGACTCGGCTCCACGCACAAGAGAGCAGCTGGCCCTGGGGCTCCCAGCCCGGGTCAGGGCCCTTCCCTTCTTTGCCCTGAGCGAACAGAGTGGCTGCCGAGTGACCGGGCTGTGTCCTCTTGCTTTCTAGGTTAACTACATCCTGGAATCACGAGCAAGCACTGCCCGGGCTGACTATTTCGCTCAAAAACAAAGAAAACTGAACAGACGTACAAGCTTCAGCTTCCAGAAGGAGAAGAAATCAGGGCAGCAATGACACTGGCCTCCAGCCCCAATCTGTCACCATAGCTCAGAGCCTTCCTGCCAGGGTCAGGTGGCCCTAGAGCCCACCCCAAGTCCTGCAGTCCTCGGGGGCAGGCCACCCCTGGCTCACAGACACAAGGCTGGGGGGCTCTTGGGGGAATGGAGCTGGGGACATCTCCACGGGACCGAAGACTGAGTGGCAGTGGCTTTGATGAGCAGTGCCAGGGGGCCCGACGACACGCCCAGCCATCTTCACTGCCCGACGGCCCTGCCTGAGGATGTACATAGCCATGCCCAGACATTTCCTTGCAACTTGATCAAATTTCTTAAAACAAACGAAGAACAAAGATGTACATTTCTTTTTTCTTTTTTTTCCTTTTAATAAACAGGTGTACTCTTTATCATGGTTGGTATGACGGGCCGTTCTTTGGGGCAGAGGATTGATCATGTCATTCTCTTTAAAACCTGTTCCCATATTGAACAGGCAGATTGGAAAAGCTATGGCTCGATTTCTCAGAAGAAATGTTTAGGGCTTAGTCAATAGTTTTAACTATGCCATTTGTTTAAATGAGTGCATTGCTTTGAGGATAGTAGCTTCCTAAAGTTAGGATGGGGGGCCTGGTGGTGGGTGTCCCAGGCTCCCCCCTTCAGAAACCACCTCTCCTCAGCTCGTCCTGGCACCTCTTGGGTCCAGAGATGCAGGACTGCTGGCCAAGCACGGGGGCGCTGGGAGAGTGGGGTGACAGCTGGTCTTCAGGTCACACTGAGCTCCCGGCCAGAAGTGGGCTTTTCCATTTCTTAAATAGCAAGTGTGTGTTTCAGCTAGCCATTGGTCCTGCAGGTGGAGTTTTCCTGGGATTGGCAGGGTCTCTGCTCTACTGACTCAGAAGGGCCTCTGCTCCCCTTCTTCCTCTCCATGCAGTGCCTGCCTCCTTGTCTGAGCAGGCGGGAAGCTGCAATTTCTCCCTCTGTTGGGAGCGAGGGTGAGCAGAGGCGGCAGGGCAGAGGGGAGCCTGCTCCCACGGGCTCCGACTGCTCGGGCGGGCGGGCAGGGGGTCAAGCACCCGCCGACACCACACCTCTGGCCACACCAGATGCCTCTGCAGTCCTCCCCAGGGTCCCTCCCAGGGTGACATCCTTTCGAGCTGTCTCCGGCCGGGGTCGAGGACCAGTCGTTTCAGCGAGGACCTGCATTTCAAACAATTTTTTAAATTGTTGTATAGGAAGAGATGTGCCGAAAACAGCATCTCAAAGTCGACTGTGTTTCTTTGCACTGGGGGCATTTTAATGAATTCCCCTTTCATTCTGATCTTTGTTCAGCCAACAGAAGCATCCTTTTCTAACGTCTTCCATTCCCGCCCACCCCAGAAATGAAAGAAATATTATTTGTAGCTTGCTATCTCTCTGTATTTGAATTTTTAGCAATTTTATATTTAGATATCTTTGAAAAATGTAAATGACTAATTTGGTCATTAAATCTTGTGGCATATTCAATATGAAAATATTAAAATAAAAGTCAGATAAATACCATCTTCTGTGTATTGCTTTGAACTCTTGAAGTCTTGAGTACGTTATCCTGACTCGCGAGTCTCAGCGAATTGCTCAGGGTAGTGGCATTTGCTGCCAGTTCTCGTGGTACCGAAGGTCCCTGAAATGCACCGTGGGCCTCCTTAGATACTGACCAAGACAGGATGACCCTCTTCACTCAGGGGCGACACTCAAAGCTTCACCTCCCTCAAGTACAAAACCAACACCATTGTCGTGACATACAGCACGCCGGCAGTTACGGAAAGCTCGCCTGTCCACCCGAAGGAAGAATTTAAGGGGGAACACTGTGAAACCTCCCGGGTCAACCGAATATCAGGACTTCTGAATTTCAGCTTTTCCTCGGCCCCTCTCTTACCCCCCACCTGGATTTTAAGATAAGACCATGAGCTCCTCGAGGACAGACTTGACCGAGCGGGAGCTCAGCATCCCGAGGTAAACGGGTGACCCTCAGGCCCCACTGCGGCTCTCCAGCAGCATCTCCTGACCTGGCTCCCACCCCGACGTGTTAAGTCCCCACCAGGGCTCTGCTGGCCTCGGCTGGCCACTGAGGAGCGCCCCCCATGGTCTGAGGGCCGCCAGCGCGCCAGGCGGGCTGCGTGCCGGCCCCTTACAAGGAAGCGTGAGCCCGCGTACCTCCCCCCCGCCCATGCGGGGCAGGTCCTGTCATTGCCTGCGTTCCAGAGGTGAGGGCTTGGGGCCTGGAAAGGTCTCACCAGGACTCTGAGCCCACAGCCGTGCCCTGACCGCCACAGCCAGCGACTCCGTGGGGCCTCCGTCTCCTCCGGAAGAGGGGACCTCTGCAGACCTTTCTAGAGAATGTCTTAAATGTCTCCATCACAGTGAGCCCAACCTTCCTTCCAGGGGTTTCTGTGCGCCAAAACTTACAGGAGCTTCTCTGCTTCTGAGCAAGAATTCTAAGAAATACTGTGAGGCCGCTTAGTCCCTCCTCCTCTCTGGGGGCAGCAAATGCGTGTTCCCTCCCGGAGTCTTAGAGCCTCTGCTTGCACACCTCTAGCAATGGGGCACTCACTGCCATTCGGGTCAGTGCTTTTTCTTGTTGGCCCATTTGGTCACCCTGGGCTACCTGCACCAGTGGCCGCCCCAGAACCCACCCAACGCGCCTCAGCCTCTGCATGTCAGATCCCTCTTTCCACCCTGAGCGCCAACTGCCTCCTAATCCTCCTACCTGGGCCCCAGGACCGGTGTCCCCACTGCCCCAGAAGCCCCATCAGCTGCTCGGAGACCACACTGACATCCCTCAGAGTCTTCTCTTCCTGGGTTAAGGAGCTTATCCCCACCCCTGTCGTGTCCCCGAAAACCCACCAGCTGCTTTCAGGGTTCCCATTCCCCAGGTCAGGTTGCAAAACCTCAGAGGCACAAAGGGGAGCGAAGTTCTGACGTAGCGGTCAAGATGCTCACAGTCTGGTGAGGCCAGGGAGGTGGGCAGGTGACCCCCAGGCCACACCAGAGTGAATGCCATGGAGGGTCTGGGGGGGCCGCATGGACCTGGAGGCCTGGAGGTGTCCCCGGTGTCCTGGAGCTCCCCGAGGGGAAGGTGACACAGTGTGCAGGAATATGGCAAGAAGCTGCAATGGGCCCTCACCAACAGGGCTGACGAGGGCCCGGCCTGATGGCCCCCGGCCATCCATCCTCATGCCCACCTAATCTCATCCTCCACAGGAGGTACCAGGCGGAGTAGCACGGTCCCTCACCGGAGGCCGTGCAGTGGGGAGGTGGCGGAGTCGGCTCTCCCACCGCGCACCTGCCGCCCCCTGCCCAGCCGGCCTCCATCGGGGGCCCACGGTGGCCCATGCAGCCTACACGCCCCAGATCCTGCAGGCGCCACCAAGGCCCCACAGGGAGGGCCCTGCTGTTGGGAAAGCGGCCCAGGAGGAGGAAAGAGTTAAGCCTGTCATGTTATGTTCCCACCAAACACCTCTGCTTAAATGCAAAGTCCCAACAGGGTGGTGTTGGCTATAAAAGCCCTAAGAGTGATTTGTGAAGTCTCGAAGCCCTGTAATCTCGTCAGCGTAATGGGATTATATTTCAAATCACCACAGCCTGTTCATTACCCATTTAAACTCCTCTGACAGAGGAAAACTTACATGAAACGTGCAAGGCAGCTCTTGCCGACTTCCCTGCTCTCCTTCCTGATTAGACAAACAGATGCTGAGGTCTGGAATGAAAAAATAATGTGCCCATTTATTCATTTTTCTGACAAGTCACAATAGATTTTTAACTGCCAGTGAGTGACCTCCCGGAGGTGTGGTGGCGGGGAGACGCCTGCCAGGCAGCAAGTGGTCATTTCCGCCCGCGCCAGGCCCTGCCCTGGCCAGGATTCCTCCGGGGACCGGAGCTGGCTGCCAGGCTGAGCCACGCTCCCCACTCTGTCCTAGCCGGGGCTGAGGATGCGCTCAGCTACCTGCTGGGCCTCTCGGCTGTTGCCACCCCCCGGGCCCAGGGGCCTCCTCCAGGACATAGCCACGGCCTGAAGTCAAAGCCCCAGGTAGGAACCCCGACCCTGCCCTTGATTAAGGAGCCTCAGTTTCCCCATCTGTAAAATGGGGAAAGTAAGAGAGCTCATCTCAGTGGTGAGGGGTCAGGGGCCCGGCTTGGGCGGGTGCTGCCCTCAGCTCCCACTCTGGGCTGCCTAGGACAACTGTCCCCAGTCAGCGCCCCCCAGGCTGTGACAAGGAGAGAACAGTCCACAAGTGCCGGGCCCTCCCTTGACCACGTCCTCTGGCGGAATAGGCCTTTGTGGACAGTTACTTGCTGGGTCACAGGGCCACAGAGCGTGGGGGCAGGGAGGCCCTCTGGCTCTCTGCTCTGTGACGAGGCCTGGAGCAGGGATGGGCTGGGGCAGAGGCAGCTGGGATCCCAGCTCTGCCTGTCCCTGGGGCACCCCCGCCCCCAATTCAGAAGCGGGACACTGCTCCTGAGCTGGGCCACCGGCTGGGGGGAGCCCTGTGGCAGTGAGTTGAGTGAAGCATAACGAAGATAATGTCACAAGCCTGGTGCGCAACAGAGGGTGGGAGCCATGGAGACAAGGGTGCCCAGGCAGAGAGTCACGGGGAACACACCGGCCAAGTCCTTCCCTGCCAGCAGGACTTCGGGCCTCAGGGGGCAGCCCCCGCCCCCCAGGGAAGCGGCCTCCAGGCCCCCTTCTCACCACCCCGGCCTGCCTCTGGGGAGGAGCTCCAGGCAGGGCTCCCATCTTTATGCATTCGTTCTATGAATACGTAAGAAATACTGTGAGGCTAATTCTTTTTAAAATGATAAAATTCATCTGTATTATAGCATTCCAGCCGCCAGCTTCCTGAAAGCTAAAAATATTTTAATGTCATATTTCCATGTAAATTTTAGTTTAGAATTTAATATCCTTTTAACATACATTAAATTTTTAGCATTCTTCAAGCCCTTGACTCTTTTAAGGGTTTAGCTGATGTGCACTGGAGAAAAGGGCTGGCGAAGGCTGTAAATTAGGAGAGAAAGTTCTAGAAGCAAGGTGGCCCCCAAACCTCTGCACCCACCGCACCTTGGGAGTTGCTCCTCTGGGCTGGGGAGCACCTGAGTCAAACCCTGGGATCCTGGGGAGGTGTCAGAAGTCTCCATTTCCTTGCTGGAAAGAGCAGGTGTGACTGGCTTTATGCGGTACGAGGGCAATTCACCATAGCAGCCCAGGTCTGGGGAGCCAGGGTGGCCTGGGGCCGAGGGCATGAGTGCTGCAGTCAGGGTGGAGTCGGGCCCTAGTTCTGCCACTTGCTGGCAGGTGACCTCGGTATGCTTTCCTGTGCCTGTTTCCTGGCCCCCAAACGGGGCCAAAGTCAGCTTGTGCACCAGTGATATTTGAATGAATGCACATGAAAGGAGGTGGTTATCGGCTCCACAGAGGAGGTGAGCTCCAGGGTGAACTGGCTGGCCTTGCCGAGGGGTTCAGGGTGATGATATGTGTGTAACGATCTACTTGTAGACAGTTCTACTCGAGTAGATCGTTTTTGGTTGATCCGTACCCTGCTCCAGCCCCTAGAGTAAGATCGCAGTCACCCCCCCCCACCCACACACACACACAAGGGTGTCTTGGCAAAGCCTCCTGATTGGCCCAGGGGCTGCAACCTCGCCATACTCCTCCTCCTGGGGTAGGCCAAGAAGAGCCAGGAGAAGGCTCTGAAAATGTCAAGGAAGGGTGTTCACAGCTGCCTTTGGGGGAAAGTAGGTAGGGACTTCATGTCCCCTAGGGCATCTGAGGTCAAGGTCTGGGGCCTGCCTGAGAGCTCTCCCCACAGCCTCACACTCTGAGGTCTGGGTCTCCACTGACCGGGCCCACACCCTTCTGCCGTGAGTCACCATGCCAGGGGTCTCGAGGGAATCCTTCCATCTGTCTGATGGCCCATCTGTGAAATGCAGCAGAAATAATAAAGCCTGGGGCGCCTGGGTGGCTCAGTCAGTTAAGCATCTGCCTTTGGCTCAGGTCATGATCTCAGGGTCCTGGGATTGAGTCCCGCGTCAGGCTCCCTGCTCAGCGGGGAGCCTGCTTCTCCCTCTACCCTCCCCCCCGCCCCCCACTCATGATCTCTCTCTCACTCTCTCTGTCTCTCAAATAAACAAAAGCTTAAAAAAAGAAAAAGAAATAATAAAACCCCCCTCGTGAGGTGGTTGGGAGGACCCGGCGATATCACCCACAGGAGGAACCTTCAGGAACAAGGCAACGTGTAGGGAAGGGCTCACTTGGCCGTCTGTCCAAGCAATCATTAAGCAGAATTACAAATTTACAGTGTGGACACATGAAATCCGGAAAGATGGACAGCTCTGCTCTCTAATCACTTTCAGGGGAAGATATAATGCATTGATCGACAGAGACAAACCACAGTTTGGGCTCCAACCAGCGTCTGTGATGAAAGCAGCCACCTTGTTAACTTAGATTTACAGTGTCTCCATCCTGGCAAAAGGAAGGCATGGGGGGAGGGAGCTGCTGCTTGTATGGG